ACCTTAATTTGAAAAATAACAATTTAATGATTTTTAATGACCCTAGGAAACCCTGTTATGAATTTATTATAGAAGCACTTTTATTTTTCTTAATATATTAGGGCAAGTTGCCGTTTACTTTGTTATTATATTGACCTCAATTGTTGCCATTAAAATATACATATTTTTTGAATGTTACAAAAGTAATTAGGTGTCCTCCTGCCCTCTGATTTAGATGTTCAAAGATTTTCCAATGAGTGGCCTATAAAGGGTTACGGGTTGTTGATCAGGTTTGTTTGAACCCTCAGGTCATGGAGACCTGCTCAGTGTTTTCAGGACCAGCATTATGTTTCTGTTCTTTAGCTCTTCACCAAACTTCATGAAGCCACCTGCTCCTTTTCCTCAGTGAGACATTTTTTAGTTGCAGCTTTTCATAAAAACAAGTGTTTACTTTCAGTTTGTTTTCATGTTAAAGGTCATTTGAATGTTCATGTTTCTTATTAAGTTTACCATTTAGTGTATTTTTGGTTCTTTAATTTCTTGTACAGCGATCTGAATGACAGAATGAATTATGACACATAGTAAAATGACCTTTTTCCATGTCAGCAATATCAAACCGATAACAAGAAAGAGTCTTTGATGAAGATTTAGTAAAATTTTATTTATCTACAAATATTTTTCCATACGGCATACAGATAGATCATTAATTTTTCTCAAGGTGGCTCTTAAGTTGATAAGTTACAGTATCATACAGAAGCTGGATGCCAGAACTGCACAAAAAGTTGAAAAAATACGTCTCATTTTCCTCGGTCTTTACATGTTTTCCATCAGTGTTTTGCAGCATATCGTAGAGCAGTTGGAGCCGTCGGGATGAAATGAACAACTGAGTGTTAAGAAACACTAAGATGGTACTGAACATGAAGGAGGAGCAAATCCAAGCAAATCCTGCTGGAGCAAGCAGGAGACTTTAGTGGGAACAGGACGTCCTGTAAAACTCTGTCACACTATGCTACCATTTAAATGCTCCTCAGATTCTCCACATTAACAGTGATAAATTAACCTCACTTCTGTTTTGTGATTAGAACAAATATAACAGCAGAACTAAATGAACAAGGCAGATGAGGAACACGGTGGAGATGAATGCACAGACTAGCTTAAACATCTTTTTTCCATCTGAAACTGGAAGATCAGCCTCAACTCGAACATGAAAATGTCCTAAACTCAACGTGCTCGTGTGACGCGACCGATTACAGGAAAACAAAGACAGCACGGCAGCTGGAGGAGAAACTGGATCAGTGAAGACATTCTAGTCCCATTCCTCCGTCTCTCAGGTGTGGAGTCTTTTCTTCTCTTCTTTCTGTAGTGTTTTCTGCCTAGTCTTCATCTTCATCCTCCTCGTCAGATGTCTGGTCCCGGGCATCGATGTCGTCTTCATCTTCCACCTGTAAGGGAAGGGTCACAGTCTAACTAAAGATAACAGACAAAAACAAGGCTGAGTCACCTGGAAGCCCACTGTGTCACTGCTCCGCACGTCAGTGACTAAAGAAGAAACACCAGTGAGGCGAGTAGCCCGATATGTCACCTGGTAGAGAGGATGTGATCATAGCTCTCTGGGCTTTCTGAAGGGCTCTCCTGTTACCAGTTTAAACATCTCTGGTTGTTTGAAAGGAAAATAATAGTCTATAGTGTATAGTCTAGTAAATAGTTTGACTTGATCCAAATGCAGTTTACTTTTGCTGATTAAACCAGGGGTCTTCAACATTTTGAAGACCAAGCACCTTCAAACTGATGGCGAGATGGAGCGGGGACCCCCTAATTATATATATTGCATGAGATCATTTTATATCAAACTGGTCCTATAGTCACTCTATTACAGATGGAGTCAATTAACAAAGTAATTTCTCCCTGGGATTATTAAAGTATTTCTGATTCCTGGTTGATGGAACAGGTGTTGTGAATAAAACGGTGCCCAGCTTGAAAGATCTCCTGTGTGTTGCTGAATGTTTGCATTGATGACTGAAAGACATCTTCTGCCTCCATTTATCTGTTTACTACAGTGTTGAATTCATGTTAATGTGGATTTAAAGACATTTCAATTCAAAAATTGCAGGGGGGAATATGAAAAGAAAGTAATCAAGCAAAACTTTCGAGACGCCCATGCAGTACCTCCTAGGGGTTACAGTACATACGGCCAGGTATTATGAAGGGCATACGTTGTTTAAGCTGTGCAGAGATCAGATCATTTTAGCTCAACAGTTTCAAAGAAGAAGAAAAAAAAATACTAGATTAAGACTAGATTTTTATATTTCTATCCTGGTTTGTAATCCATGTGTTAAACATTAGCTCTGGGGGAACAGAGCAGCTCTCCTCTCTGCTCTGACTGCATGCAGGGCTTTAAGGACAGGGCAGCATTTAGAGAAGCAGTGAGGCTCATTAATGATGGCTGCTTTCAGATGAAGTTACTAAACGTCACCAGTTTTGTCTCTAATCACTTAAAAAAAAAGAAAAAACTTGCTAAAGGAGCCCAGAAAGTCCCCAAATATAGCAACAACATGTCAAAGTTGGTAACACTGGGAAAGTTAACTCTCTTTTTAAAAACACATTAACATTTCCTGATATTTAAATTGATTTTAAACTCCGATTATGATTAGAACAAATATAAAGAATGCTAAATGCTTTATATTTTCTTATTCTTTTGAAGATTTGAAGATGTGGTTGCTCTGATTTTGCTTTGGCGGTGCATCCCCATTAATTACATGAAGCCCTGGTACGGCACACCCAATGTATCAAACGGACAAGGTGGTAGGAAAGAAGGACGCAAGGCAGAGAGAAAGGAACTAACTAAGGAAAGCAGCGAAAAATGAAGGTAACTAGAAAAGAAAGAAGGTAAATAGAAAACGTATAGGTAGAGCTCTGAACCTTTAATATGGAGGAACGACACACCCTGATGACTCAATAGGTGTTCAGAAAAGCAGCTTTATACTCCCAAACACTAAGTATGTGATCCTGAACTCATCAACTATGAGGCTCAGGGTAGTAAATAACATCAGTTTCTTCTTATTCCAACTCTCAGCAGTAGTTTTCTTACCGTCTCTCCAAGGTCTTTGAGTTTCTGCTTGAGGCTGTGGATTTTCTGGTCCTGGTCTGCGAGCAGCATCAGCAGGTCGTCCTGCTCCTTCTTGGACTCTTGGACCTCGGTCTGCAGCTTTGACTTCTCCGTCTGCAGGATGGCCACTGTGCTTGTGGCTGAAGCCAGTTGCTTCTCCAGTTCTGATCGACTTTCCTAAAAACAAAGAAATATAAATCCCAGAGAAGAGATTTAAAGAGAGACATGGTTTGAAGGAAGGACACAGTGCTGTTTATTTTTTTTTAATGGTAAAACAGAAGAGAAGTTCACAGTTTGCTAACATACCTTAAGGCTCTCCATCTCAGACGTCTGAGCTGCCAGTCTGCTCTCCAGTTCTGCCTTGGCAGCATCTGAGGAGCTGTCACTAGGGGGCGCTGTGTCAGAGGACTGACAGATAACAGGCTCTTTCATTAAAACAGCTCAGTTTGACGTGCTTTAAAATGATGTCACATGATTGTTTTTAGGATCTTTACCGCTGATTCAGCTCTGCTCAGCAGCTCCTGCCTCTCCGTCTTTAGATGGCCGATTTCTGCCAGATGGGTCTGAACCTGCTTCTTTAACGCCTCCAATTCCTGGAACAGGAAACACCAAATAAGACAAACTGCTGGGGTGCTCCTTAAGGCTGATTTATACTCAGACACCAGGTCGTCTGTTGCAGTGAATGCAAATGTGCCGCTGCCACAGACACTCTGCTGCACCTCTCCCAAATTGTAGGTGACCACAGGAGGCCTCTGATTGGTCAAATCTACATCTGCTCTACACTATGGGTATTTCCTGTTTGGTACCTTACCAGCTTGCTTTGTTTGTATGACCGCCATTGTGGAAAACTACTCGTGAAGTTGGACCAGCTAGAAGAGCGAGGTGCGTGAGAACGCTGGGACCCTTTTTCCACCTGGATCCCCGCTCTTTTTCGCCCTCATGTCCCTCCTTTATCGCACAAACTTGCCCCCACTTCCTCACCGCCTCGGCCATATCTAGACCCACAGCTAGTTCCTGATTGTCCCTCTTGGGTTGTGACGTGGAATAACATAGTGTAGACCACGTTTCAATATTGGGCATAAATCAAAAATGTCTGCGACAAGTTCACTGCGACACACTGCTGAGGGAGGATAACCAGCCCTTTATGGTGATATTATCCTAATGATACGTTCACAAGGCCTGCTGAAAATAAAGTGAATGACAGTGAACCAGAAAGTGGAGCTACAGGTCCATTAAGCTGTTCCACTGGTATTTCTATTAAGAAACTAACTCTGTTGGCACTGCCTTTGCACTGTTCAGCCTGAACTGTAGATCCTCAGTCATTCACATCCATTGCTTTGGTTTTAAGGTGTCTGTTTTTACACAATTCCTGGTTGGGGATTTTTGTTTTCCCAGAATAAGTGACTTTTTCTTCAGGGGTTAACCTCAGTCACCATTACTGAGGATCCCTGAGAGCCTTGAGCCTTCAGATACAATCACATCTATCTTTTTGTACATCTGAACTAAAAATGTCTTTGCTTCAGAGCAAAGTGGAAGCAAAGTCATACGTGTCGTTGTACTCACCAACCCAGCCGTAAAAGCTGACTGTAACGAAGTCTTTCCAGGAGGAAGCTGAATTTATTTTAACTGAGATCATTTGTTACAGTAACGCCACTCTGCTACTTTACATTAGGATAATTATTCAACAGCTTTCTCTTATTTGGAGAAGCCTCCAACGGCTCCTCTGAGTTTACTGGGCTAATAAAGCCAAGCAGTTCTGCCCCTCTGTTTTTGTATGACTAAACATGGCGGAGTTATGCCAGTTTTATTTAGATTTTTTAGCCTACTTCAATTTGTCAAACAGGTTCCTTTGATGGGATTTCTTGATCCTTTCGCTACGGCAACAAAGAGCCTTTGGAAGTGATGCAATGGGTCGTAAAGATTACTTTTGTTGCTTGGAAAAAAAACATTTTATGTGATCTTAAATACTTAGGCTGGACAATTTTGGTCTTCACAAATCATTTAAACAGGCAAATCTAATTTCTTTACTAAACTAATGCTTTGGTATCCTAATGCCACCCCTGATGTAAATTGATTGATGTTTCTGAGAGAGGTCATTAATCCCACCTGGAGAAGCTCAGAGTTGTCTGATCCTCCTGCTGGAGCCTCTGCTGTTTGGGCTGCCGATTTCTACATGGAAACAAACAGTCATGTTAACTCCACATGGTCACAAATATGCACAAAGGAAGCCACACCAGGTCCAGTATGAATCCAAAGCCTTAAATGATCAATTGCTCTGCTTTCATGGATATTAAAGGAATCATCAGGAAGGAATGAGACTTCAATTAAAACCTGCAGGAAAATCCAGGGTGTGAAAATTGCTTTTTTTTTTTTTTAAAAAGCCAACAAGTATCTGCCAATATCACCATGGTGATGAAAGCTACTCTTACCCATGGTAATATTACATATTTTATTTTAAAACTTAAAACTCCAACTTCCAGAAGTTGCAATCGACTTAGATTCATCGCATAGACCTGTTTCCATCTGTACCGTCTAACAACCTTTTTAACAAGTTCACATATTTTTCTGGTAGATAATTTCAAAAAAAAAAAAAAAAAAGGTAATTCATTTGTCTTTTTCATACATATCAAGTTTGGGAAAATAAAAATTATTTCCCTGCTACCTAAATATTCAGAAAGGGACTTTAAACCAAATTTATGTACATAATACAAACCAAAAACAAAGTTTAATTCTAGAAAACTTTTAGTGAGCCATTAGAGGCCGGCATGCTCTCTGACGTGTTACTAACCAGGCTGTCGATGAGAGCATCCTTCTCCCCGAGCTGTGTCTGCAGGACTATTTGCTGCCTCCGTAGCTCCTCCAGCTCCTCCCTGAGCTGAGACAGCTCCTCCGTCTGCAGCCCGTTCACCTGAGATTCTCCTTGGTTGTTGGACTGACTCTGATTTTCCTTCCCTGAACACAAAAACAACCAAAATCAGTTCAATATTATATCAACATTTATGTTTTAAAAAATAGAATATTTTTTGAGCTGATTCTGAGTGGAATCACCATGAATTCAACCCACCCTCCTCCTGTGTCACTTAATTTTCCTTCACTAAAAACAAAAAGGGTATTTTTTCAGTTCCTCCTTTCCTTAATTTTAACGGCTCTAGGAGGAAAACTCGGATTCGACTCTCAGATGATTTCTCTTATGAAAGTACAAACCTTTAATGGGATTTTATTAGATTTTTTTGGGCTGTAACTCACAATTATTTAAGAATCGATTAATCTGTCGATAATTTTTTTGATTAATCGATTGATAATCTGACAACCAAAAGTTCCTTAGATCTTTTTCACAAATGAAACCACATAAAACTGAAATGTTTACACTTAAGGAATCCTGGATATAGCATACTGACAGACGAAAAAGTATTTTTTTTTACTTAAATGAAAAATGTTCACATATTTTTTTTTTTACAATTTTGATATAATTACTGCTCTAAGTGGGTCGATCTTTCAGCTAAAGGCTTGTTTTTGCGTCTCTAAACTCCATTAACGATTAATCAATTACTAAAATATTTGACAATTATTTCGATAATCGATTGATCACAATTAATCGGATTAATTTTCTATTCTTTTGTCATAATCTTTAGTATTGATATAAAAGAAAACAAAGATTTAAAAGCATGTAGAGATAATAGAAACTGATTATAAAATAATATCACAGTTGCATATTGTATTCATATTATGAAGCCCTGGGATAAACCTTTTAGAACGGATCACTTCACAGGTTGTTTGCAGAGATTCTATCCACATACTTCTGGGAGTCTGATGCAAAGCTGTTCTGGGATTAAGCTCTTCATCTGGGATATATTCCTAGAAATGGCTGATTTCTTTGTTGGTTGGTTGTCGCTGTCGAGCCCAGGTAAAACGTGCAGCTAATCAGAATATTAAAAGGATTTCTAAGCTTAACCTAGAGATTTTTTTCAGGGTTAAACTTGATCATGTTGAAGCAGAGAACATAAACCCTGCAGGACTGAATGTCCAGAGAACCAGTGGAGAGAAACGACATTCTTGAAGACAAACAGAAGATCTCACCTAATTTGAGCTTGAGGATGTTGTACTGGTCCTTGTGCTGCTGAATCTGAGACTGCTGCTGGCTGATGGTAGCTTGCAGCTGTTCTGTCTGGTTAGTCATCGATGTTACTTTCTCTTTCAGCTCCTGAATCTGAGTGTCCTGAACATCAAATGGACAAAAAGACATTCAGACAAAGATGCAACATCTTAAACCTGAGGAACAAACATTACCATTATATTTACCTGTTCTCTGATCAGCTCTTTATACTGAGTTATAATATTATCATGTTGCTCTAATGTCTTCTTCACCTCTTCTTCCTTCTTCTCCTCCTCGGAGGACTTGTGAACAGCTTTGGTGATCAGACCTGTGCGCAGCAGAGAGAAATCTTTCATTTTCTACAGAAACTCTTCGGATAACGCCTTGTGGACGAGGACGGACCTTCCAGATCTTTGACCAGCCTGGTGAACTCGTGGTCAAACAGCATCTGCTCCGGAGACGGGAAAACCGGCTGTGGCTTCAGCGCCGCCCGGGAATACAGCTCATGTTTGGTGATGAAGCCGAGCTTCTCCACAAAGTTTTCCTTCCCGATGCGTTTCTCTATCAGCTGCTTTAGCTTCTCCCTGAACCAGAAGATAAAGAAAAATCAGAAAAGAACATTTCTATGCAAAGGCCTGCAGCTGTCCCACAGTTCAGTACATCTCACTCAGTGAAACGTGCCTCTAAGTTAAAAGTTTAGAGGTAACATCTCCTACTGGGTCCAAATTTAATCAAAGCTCAGGACAAATTATTCTACAGTTCAACTTTAAATTTCACACCATTAGCTAAAAGCCAATTAATTCAAACCTTCTTAGAAATATTGATTAACATAAAGAATGACCTTTTAGCTTCTAAGGAGGTGGAAAAATAAACAGTCTGCAATGCATCATTAGGGATCTTACCCTAAGTGATGATAAAATGTTTAAGAATGTAGATTCTAAGAAACAAACAGGACCTGACCTCACCAGGAGAGATTGACAGACTGAATGAACAAGACCCATTGCTGTCTGTGGATAATGTTCCTCCCTTTATTATAAATAAATGAGAATGGTGCGACCCCCCCTCTGAAGTTACAGTGATTTTAAATCTGTTAAATAATGAGAAATAATCCAAAGATATGTCTGTGGTAAACCTGTCCTTTCTGTGCTTCGAGAGCAGGAACTACGTTTATAAACGTCAAGTTTTTTTGTGCTTGGACTGATTCGGTGTTTTAATGCATTGAATCTATTAGGCTTAAACATTTTCATAAAGTTTGGACCTTGCTTAACTTTTTAACAGAAAACCCAATCTGATTACAGTGCTGTAATAGTCGTGGGTTCACCCAAACCACAGAGGTAGCTCGCCTTTACAAATTATCTGTATTCCCACCATATTAACCTGAGTTTAACAGATTAACATGTCCGTCCTCCACCAGACAAACTCTGAGCTGCATCTATTTTGAGCATCAGCTCTTGTCTTCTGTTAAAAGGTTTGTTTAAAAGTTTTTTTTTATCTGCAAATTGGCTGAACTCTTCTTACTGTAATGGGAGTTGCATATTACTGATGTTTTACACCTATTTCTTTTCACATGCGAGTAAGTTGGGCATTTCTAATTATTCTCCAGGTAGATTATGTTTCTTGTGATTAATTAGCTGTAATTCTACTTAAGGTTTCACTTCTTCATAACACTTCTTAGACTTAAAAACACTAAAAAACAAACATGTAATGATTAGATATACATTAAATTGTCCCTCTTTTTAAGAAAGAAAAACCCACAGTGGTCATGGAAATAACTTGAATCTCACAATATAAATAAAAATTCTATGAAAATGAACAAATTAAAGTTGGTCATCAATCATGATTTAAGAGAATGATCTAAAATTAACTAATGAAACAGGCCTTGGAAAAAGAAAATAATGTGGCCAAATCAAGGTGTGCCCACTAATTAGCATCAATCAGTGGGCTAAAGGTAAACATTGAGCTGTCTGGTGACATGGTGTGTATCACACCCAACATGGACCAGAGGAAGAGAAGTTAAGCGTTGTCTCAAGAGGTTAGAAAGAACAACAATTTTGTGTATCAGTAATTTTTCCATGTTTGTAATGAGTAATTTAAACTGGATTGTCAGAAATAAAATTATTCATTCAACACTTAGTAAAAACTATACCTGCCAAGTGGATAGTAAGTAAATTCTGTATATCATCTACATGCAAGGACACTTACTTTGTATAGTTTTCCAGGGAGTTGTCGTTATAGAAGATGCAGATACCAAGCAGGAGCGCACAAAGACCCTGCACCAATCGCTCATCTTCTCCCAGATTCTCTGAGATCTGAGCCGTAAGCTGCAGAGGTCCATACGTCAAGGATTTATTCCAGAAAACTCTTTACGGTAAAGCTTTAAAAGAACTATACCTCCCATCATACTGAGGAATGGTCCTGCTTTAGATTAATGGGAGAGATTAAAAAACAAAGACTGGACACAAACATTTAATTCAAAGGTTTAGATCAGAAGTCACGGATTAGCGGACCTCGGTCCGGATCTGGACCAACCTGCTGGCTAATCCTGATTTAAAACATTTATAAATTACTGCATGCTGTCCGACGACAGTGTCTAATTTCACTTGTGGTGCTTCTCCTGAATGCTAAAGACCTCCAGAACGAACAAGGCTACACGTCATATAAATGATCCAATGAGCTGCTGTCAGTCTGGGTTACTTCTGCTGCTGCTTTTAGACACAGCAGGCAAACCTGTGGCAAGCCGGGCGATGGGAAAGAAGGAGAAGATGATGAGAAAAAGAGAGCAGAGAAAGTGTGGACTGCTGGAAGAACTGTGGTGAACTGGTGAAAGAAAAGTGAAATGGCATGCTCAAAGATGATCCTGAACATTTAGAGCATGTTTGGCTCAATCTACTGTTGTGAAGCAGGATTCTCCACCATGAACAGAATCAAAAAATAAATAATATATATGGATCCAGGCTCATAATGAGCACCTTGGTATGTGCTTTAGAATGACTTTGTCTCCATTCAAACCCAGGTTTAAAGCCTTGCAGGGCAGCCTAAAGCCCACTGTTTTTTTTTGCTTTTCTTTGTCTGTCTTAATGAGAGCAGTCAGTTCAGGTGTTTTATAAAATATGTGCATCAGGAAATTGTCTCTAAACAAAACTGAACGATGGCTGTTCTCTACTTAAAAAACACTTTCGATTTTGAAATGGAAAAAAATGTTATTTTTATATATATATATATATATTCTTTTTTATTATTATTTAAAAAGTGAATGTATAACATGGATGCATAAACACCTCATTTTATTTCAGTGTTAAATATTGTCTAAAGTAACAGACTATAATTAAAAATGTCTCTGGACTTTCACTGGTTGATGATTGTCTTTATTCGGACCCTGCTGATTTTTAACTGCATAAAATGTGCGTTGTGGATGTTATGGGTGGGGGTGGCTATTCTGTTTTATACTTAAAAGAGCACGTTTCCCTTCACACATCCGGTTTACTACAACTCTACATGCATCTTTCTGATGGGTTAATTCACTTCAAATTTATTTCCTTCTGTTTTATCATTTTCCTACCTGACCAAGAGTTTTGCTAGTAACATCATTGCCACCAGTGCAGAGATCTATGCATGTAAGTAGAAGCTCTTTTTTCAATAACATGCAAATACCTAAACATCTAAATGCTCATTATTAGTACAGAAAAAAAATCAAATAAAATCAACATACTGATTGAAAATTCAAAAAAAATAAAGATCGGAATTAAATTTTTTTGCAAAACAGTTTAGACCTGATCTGAAGTTAAAAAACAACTCACACAATGTTAAGGATACGAATGGGACATTATCCTGGTTGTGTAGGAAGTGTGTGACAGCGATGGGACAGTTGCTGATCCATGTGCAGAGCAGCATGAGGAGGCCCACTCTGGTCTGAACTTTACTGCCCTGCAGAGAGAGAAAACAGACCAAACACATTTACAGACGGAAGAATCCAAGAATAAAACCTTCTCTAAAATATTTCCCATGCATTATTCTTTGCAGAAGCATGGTTGAATGAGGGCTAGCCTCTTAAAGTAAGAACATTGAATAAAAAAAATGTTTTATGTAAAAATCAAAAAAGGTTCATAAGAAAAAAAGAAACAAAAGATATTAAACTAATTGATAATCCCATCATATGGGAGGTAAATCAATGAGACTAAATAAACTACAAATTTCCATTTTCCAAGTTCAGTTAATATAAAACAAATCTTGCAAAGGCATTATTAGTTAAAATGGTTATAATTGGTTAAAGCAGACATAAGAAAATTAGCTATCTTATGAAGGTTAAGTTTAAATTGAAAGCATGCAGACCTAGTTTGGCTTCCCTCAGATGTTCCACTGGCACATCATTTTTAATGTATATTGTTTCTGGTTTTATATATTAAAATACAATGTAAATCACGTTAAATTTGTATGAAAACATGCAGATGAAACGTGACTAAATGTCCTTTTAAGGAAATTAAATTGGAGTGGATTAATTCAATCGGATTATAATCTGTCCTCTTTTAAAAATAATCATTTTATGGAGTAAAGGAGCTAGTTTGTTTGTGAAAGCTGTAATGAAAATAAGCTGCTTTTCATGGAGATGTGATGAAAAATGTTGCTTAAGTTGCAGCTTCAGCCTGTGAATCAGCTAATGCAAGAAATGACCCAAAGCTCTGCATGCTTTAAAGCAAGGAGGGAAAAAATGTAATTCTGCAAAACAGAGGCTGACAAGCATCTACAGAAATATTAGCAAAGTGCAATGAGAGAAATAAAACTTATTTTGGAATTACAACAATTTAGAAAAGTCACCTTCTCAGCTTTTGCCTCCGAATGTGAAGTAATGCAAAAATGAGGAAAACAGAAAATAAAAGACAAGTAAAAATGGCAAATTATAATGCGTTTGTTTGATTGGGGTTGATCTAGGAGTTTAAAGGTGATTTACATAAACTCATTTCAGAATAGGGTGGAGTGGGGGTCTAGTGGTTAGGGCATAGAGCTTGGAATCCTGAGGTTGTGAGTTTGAAACCCACTCCCTCAGAATGCCACTCTGGGGTGCGTTCGAATTTTTGGGATGCGTCCTCTGAAGGCCAGATTTGTAGGCCAATTACGTCATAGTGCTGTGCTGAGGCCGGGTCAGATTCCAAGACTCGCGGCCGACAAATGCGTCCTTCTTTTTGCCAGATTTAAAGGATGGGTCAGCTGTATCCTCCGTGGCATTGGATATCCCAGGATTCATTGCGAGACCAAGCAGCCCAGCTGAACAGAGGTGAATATTGGAAGTTCAGTTTAATATGATATAAGTATGTGAATAGTTCAGTCTGAAATTAATGTAAATTGTTGTTTTAATGGTTATTGAGTCAGATATGTGGCGGTAATGTTTGATTCATCTAAAGGTTTTTATCTGTTACTGTGTAAATTAGTTTGGCTGTAATTTAAAGACAGATTCTAATATATCTGCAGTGTGGGGACTATAAACCTGATAGGATTTTTATTTTTTAATTGCTTTTGTGCTATTTTGCACAATTTCCTTAACCAAGTATTTTTGTTGAAAAGATTTTGCAGATATATTTTTATACATACATAGTTTAGATTTACTTATATCTTTACCCCTTTTATAGAATAGAATAGAATAGAATAGAATAGAATAGAATATCCTTTTTTATTACAATGGGGAAATTCTGGTGTTTACAGCAGCAAAAGATTATAGGAAAAAAACGGTCACACAAATGGGGGTTTTTAGAAAAATATATAAGAATAACATAATAGAGTCAAAAGATAATAAAATACTGTACAGTAAAGGGTTTTAGGAATATAAAAACCTGTGCACCTGGAGAATAAATAACCAATATAGAGCCTTGGACATTTAACTGACTAAGGGTCATATCATTTGCTTTTATTTGTTGATGCTCCTGGTGGTCGTCACCTCTATTCCAGTCTGTATTCTCATGAGTGAAGTTTTTGTTCACTTTACAATAAAAACTAAAAAAGAACCAGTTTTGAAAAGTTCAGTATTAACTTCTTTAATTGCTTTGTGTCAACTGTCATGCTTGCTAAGCGACTGTTTGAATTCACAGCTAAAACTCTTTCAGTCTCCTTATTTTCACAGACTTTAAAGGATCCAGTCCAGGTAGGCGGCGTCCTTGGAAGATTCAGCCCATGAATTTAAATGCACCATGGGACCCGATTGCTCTCTGGGGATGCTGCCCAAAGGGGATGGATTAAATACAGAGAGTTCATTTCTCATTTCTAAGTTCATTGTGAGATCAATAAAGTTACATTTATTTTTATTATTCAGCATGCTACACTAAGAAACTTACAGCTTGTTACACATGCCACAAAAACTGAGAATATTTCTCAAGGTGGCGAGAACAAAAAAGGTTTGTTTTGGTTTTATTTATGCTCATCCCCTGTAACTTATAGCAAACCTGCAACAAAATCATCAGGACATCAGGGTCAAAAGCCATCAGTGAAACTTTGGGACCTTCTCCCACAAATGGAGGTTCTCTAGGGAGACGCTGGCTTACCAAAGGTACCCCAAGAGCGCATCAATGACCAAGAGTTCACAACATCTAAACCGCTGCAGTTCACCCCTGCATTAGTTAGGGTCAGAGGTCACATTGCTGCAAAAATGGCCTTTATGGGAGAGTTCCATTATCTCACAGCTACATTTTTTTTGGGAAAATTTTTTAGCATTGACTCGCCATCTGCAGCTAATAATATCTGTGAGGCAGCCACCTCATCATCATCAGTTTGCTCTGGGTACATAAATCAACAGATTATGATGACGTGGGTATAATACACCATTGAGAAGAGAAACTGTGCATCAGTACCGATGGAACCACGACTCCTCCTCTCTAGCAGAAACTCCTGAAGAAAAGTGTCCTCTCATTACCTAATACTGCAGCACAATGACCCAAAGCATACTGACACCCAAGTGGCCTGAGAGGCAACAATTTAAGATTTTTTCTAAGTGGCCTAATTAAATTTTAAAAGGAAACTCCTTAGGATGTTTTGGCATCAACTAAATGCTCAAACACCTGCCCACTAATTAAGACAATTCTGGAAAAGAACAGCAGAGACTAATTTTCACCAGGTAGAAGTTCTTGGGTTTTATTTTTATATATATATATATATATATATATATATATATATATATATATATATATATATATATATATATAGTTTCAGACTCTCTTTTCTGTTGGAAAGAAGCTATAAAAGTTCATAAATACCGCTTTAATATTCCTGCCATCATGTCTCCCAGCTCTGCTCCACTGTGTGTCTTAGACATAAACACAAGGTCGGCTCACTGAATGCTTACATTAAAAAATAGAAAACCTTCCCTGATTATTGTAACCGTATCAAATTCTGGCATTAAAAAAGCTCTAAAGATAAAGCACTTATAAGGGTATAGGTGAACACATTTATGGCTGACTACAAGCAAGAGAAAATCTGAGTCTAGAAGTTTTCAGTGTGTCAAAGACCTATGATGGGGTTTAGAAAAAGACAAGCAGCTGTCACGCCTAAAAGCCCACTTAAACTCGACATCATTCACAGTAAAGAAGAGTATTTCTTCCCACTGAGGTTCTGTTGGAATCTAAAAAACAAACTTGGGATGTTTCTTCTGTTATCCTAAGAAGCATTTTAATGTTTTAGAAAGAACAACAACAGTTAAAGTTTCTAACTGGAAGAGGAAAGACCCCAGATTAGCAGCAGCACACACTTCCTCAGACAGATAAGAGCTGGTAGCACAGAAATAATCCAGGTCAGCTGTTAGACGACGACTACCACCACAAACTTATTCAATTGCTCTCCTCTCAACCTCTCTTTGTGTCCTTCATGCATTTCAGTATGCTCTCTGGACCCGGCTGGTCAGTTAGGGGCAAAGCAAGGCACTAAAAGGTTAAAGGGAAGCAAGTTGAACCCCTACTATTCAGGCCAAGCCAAAAAACGACCAGCACAGATACCACCCGACGACTCAAAGCACACACAAATACACACACTAGAGAGTTACTCTACTCACCCTCCGGACGATCTTATCACCCTGCAAAACCACAGCTTCATTGAGCTTTACATGTCCGTGTCACACCTATGCTACCCAGAAGCCCCAAGCTTGTTAGCGTTATGACAGCAGGAGCGGTGCTCTACCTGAGACAGAATGTTGGTGCACTGCTGCAGCAGAGAGACCGGTGGCTTGCCCAGGCTGGTGGCCAGCTGCACCCTCAGCAGCTGCTCCTTCTGGGTGAGGTTGTCCTGCAAGGCGTGAGCCAAGGCTACGGCAGCGCACCAGTTAGAAAGAGAGTCTGCTGAGAACAGGCCTCCGCAGAGCAGCTGGCCTGCAGAGATGGAGTTGGCTAAAGAAGGAGAGAAAGGGAAGAACTGATAAGAAACAGGGAGTGGTAAAACCGTTAAAGGAGGAGAACTGGAAACCTACCATCGATGGTGGAGGGCAGCAGGGTGGCAACGATCTCCCCCTGACCTTTCTGGTTCTTGTAAAGGAAACACTGGAAGCAGTAAAGGACCGCGCAGCGAAGCACGAACGGTTGCCTCTCGTTCACCATGGACATCAGCAGCACCACGATGGCTGGCCTGAAAAACAAAGATCCACAAACATCCTTAATCATAAACGCTTTGAGTCAGAAGTGGATGGAAGTTGAAACAAATGGAGCAATGGCTGCTTTACCTCGGAGGGTTTGACGGAGCATTGACAGAAGCGAAGTAGTCCTGGTTGACCTGTGAGCCTCTGATAACTTCTGAAACTGTGTTTATGGTCTAAAAGAAATCAGCCAGATGAGTGCACACCCACAGAAACTGGGAGGCTTTTAAAACATTCCCAAATTATTTGGATTTGATGTGAAGGACCAAATATAAGAGCTGCATATATGCAACACTCTGTGTATTGTTGCTCTATCACATTAAATCCAGATAAATTATTTATTTTATGGTGGAAACCTGCATTAAGTAAAATGTTTTGGGATTATTACCTCTGTAAGGATGTCAGCAGGGACACCAGTTGCCATCAGAATGGTGCAGAGCTGCTGCAGCAGGCCACACTGGTACATACACTTCTGACAGCTTGCAGTCGCTCCGGGTGAGTTAACGGGTGACACCATCACTCGCACCAGCTGCCACAACATAAAAAAAATATACAAAAATGAATAAAAACTGTCTTATGACCAGATTTTTAGTCATTTCAATCAGTAGTCCCATTAAAGAGATGGTCGATACTTTACCTGAAGCATGAGGTGGAGGTTTGTGACTTTCTGTGCAGACCAGCCGGAGTTATCATCCCCCACTTCAAACCAAGGCTTCATCCTCTGGATGTAGGAACCCTCCTTAAAGAAGTTCTGGTTGGAGCTGTTGTTCTTTAGCAGGTTCAGTAGCAATAACAAACAATCCTCCACCACGATGCCTGGAGAGAGCAGCAACAATGAATCAGAATGTAAAGAAGAACAGGCAGTCTGACTTTAAGTGGCTTTATCAACTGTTTCTAAAGCCCTCCAGGTTTTGTAATGACAATTTTCCACCTTTAAGATGGAGATTGACTGATACAGTTTTTCAAAGCTGATGGTGACATTCATTGATTGCTTTGACATTAGCAATAAAGACAGGCAGCAACAATCAGAACCAAGGGCATCAAGGATGAAGACAAGAAGGAATAGTAGATTTCACCTTTTGCTGATGACAATCATCATATACAACTGATCGGCAACATCTAATCCTTCTCATTTATGGAAACTTAAGAAATCTTTTAACTCCAGGGGAGAATCCAAAGATTCCTGCACCAAATGGAAACAATTGGTGGTCTAATCATTAGTGTCCAGTCCTCAGGGGTCGTTTTATGTTTAATGGTGGCTGATTAACAGGCTTTTGTTGAACTAATCATCTGAATCAGAGCCGTTGCATTGGAGAGTTTTGCCAGTGAAAGACAGAGAAAGTTAGGTTGCTGGGGCACCTCATAGTTCAGTGGAAGTGTGCAGCAGCAGATAGGCTGATCTGTGACAGACCTGAAACTTTTGGTAATTATTTCAACAAAATACACAACCATTATGAAGAGAGCTGATAGAGAACTGATTAGGAGGCTTGTACTCCATATTATAATTCTGTTGTTAGCCATGTGAAATAAATTTATATATTTTTTCAATCTAGAGCCTGTTTCGACCATATTCAATTGACTCATAACGTAACGTTCAAAGATGTTAAAGTTTTGTTTATATGATTTAAGATGAGTAGAGCAACCAAAAAAAAAGTTCTACTGCCATGACCTATGGCAATGCTAGCATGAGCGGCTAACTTCCCTCGAACTACTGAAGCTCTGTACGTGCGAAGATGCTCACTGAAATGTAGCCAATGGAGTTGTCAGAACTCTCCTATTCAATGCCCCGATCTGAATCAATGGCAAAGGAGCAATACATGAATTTTCCCCATTAGGTGAAGCTGCTGACCTCTGTAGATCAAAACAAGATGTGTAACAAGCCAAGCTTCTGTTCATCTCCACTCCATCCAGCTAAGATCATAGGATTATTGCTTATTGGCCGTTTTAAAGCAGGGAAAACATAAATGAGATCTGCCTTTGAGGACTGACTTCTGAAACCACTGTCCTACACGACAGGCAAAAGATCCCTCTCTCTGTACGACATGTTAGAGAATGCTGGCTAAAGAGAATCATACCCATGCATAATTGAACAAAAATTGTTTTGAGTGCATTCATGACTGTAGTGATGTGTACAAATGGAAGTGAAGTTTTCCTTTAATAATCGTATGAGAAAAAAAAATGCATTTTAATCATTCAATAGCTTCACCTCCATCACTGCTGCCCTCTTCTGTGATGATATCTAGAAGACGCTCAAAGGCGTTCTCAAATGCCACAATTTTCTGAATGGCTGCGTTGCCTTTGGTCAGCTGCTGAAGCAACAATAAGCCCTGGTGGAGACAAAGCAAACAGAAAGCAGTTCCTTTAGCAGCTGTCGGAGATCCGTTTTTTAAAAAGCTTAATTCCATTTGGGAAAGGCTGAAAGACGGATATGCTCACATCATTACGGATTACTTCTCTTGAGTCTGCCAAAAGGTCCATTAATCTGGAAACACCTGGGAAATTAAACATGTATATTGCTCAGTCAACATATAAACCAAATAAACCTCTTTCCACCTTAATAACTAAAAGATTATATAAGTTGTTGATTTCAGAATAAAGGTCTGAGGTAAGAGCAATGGATTATGAAGTGATGGGGAGACCCTCACCCATAGGGCTGACAAGAATGATCCCCTGCACCTGGACTCCCTGAGTCTTCAGCAGAGCAGTAAGCAGCTTTACACCAGGCCAGCGCACGTGGAAGTCAAACTCCTGTAAAACAAACCAAATATAATAAAGCACTAAAGAATAAACACTGTGGAACTTCTGGAATAAAACTGCTAATGGACCGAAACAGGGTCGGTACCTCCAGGAGGGTGAGGAGTAAGGTTATATTCTCTGAATCCTGGAGGAATTTCTCTGTAAACAGGGTCCCGAGGTCATCTGCCTGCTTCTGCGCATTTTCATCTGTCAAAGGAAAGTCAACAACCATGGTAAGATCTTCTTTAAATAACACAGCAGGAGCCCACTACTACCTCAGAGGAAAGGTTAGGGATCTGCCCCTTCCCGTTTCTGATGTGAAACGCAGTGACAGGTGAAATTACAGGGACGTCACAAGAGACCCAATGAAATAAGTCTGATTACTGGAACAGACTTTAAATGAAAGGAAGACATGAAAGGAGGATGGAAACCAACAGATGAACCGATGGGAGGTTTCATTTGTTGGGGCTTCAGAGTTTCAAGTCACAGAATCAAAAATCCTCCACCAAGGTCTGAACAGCAACATGAAAATAATGGGGAAAAAAAAAACCTTAATGATAATTATGGTAAATAATAAATGGCCTGTACCTATATAGCTCTTTTTCAAGTCAGTGGACTTGATTAAAGCGCTCTACTCTACATTAAGTCATTAGTCCATTCACACACACTGATGGTGGCCAGCTACATTGTAACCACAGCGGCCCTGGGGCTCACTGACAGAAGTGAGGCCACCATACACTGACACCACAAGGCCCTCTGACCACCACCGGAACAGCATCAGAAGTGTCTTGCCCAAGGACACAGGGACTTGAACAGACAACCCTCTGGTTCCAAGGAAAATTCCTTCAGGTGACATCACCGTCGCCCCAGCATCACACATTATTTCCCACATTATTCACAGGACTGCTTGTTTATTTATGTTCCAAATGGAAGTAATCAAACTCTTCACTCATAATTTCCCAATTATCCCAACTAAATAGCAAGACTTTTTCAAATCTATGACAAATAAAAAAAAAACTAGTATTTGCAGCTTAATAACCTGTTGCACCGTCGGTCTAGAATTTCTAGGGACCCACAGCAGTTTCCCACCAAAGAGCAAGGGGGAGCCTATTCGAGAACTCATGAGAACTTCAGCGGATGGTCACGAGAACTTCTGCCTGCGCCAGCAGGAGTAATGGCGCATCTGGAAGATGGATCAAGAGTTGCTAGACATCGAAAGAGAACAGGTTCTGTTAATGGAGTTGCCAAAAAGACAAAGAAGGGGGTGTGTACGGCCCTTGAATCAGACCAGGGATGAGAATGAGGAGTTCTGGCCCGGCACTGAATCAAGAAGGACGACCACACAGACAACCGGAAAGGCATACCAAGGACAGCTGCTTTTTGTCTGCACACTTCCGTTTGAGGTCTGCGTGGGCTTGCGACCGTCAGGATTTTTTTTGGGATGCGTAATGACGGTTGCAGAACCTGTGCGCGGGTGGGCGTGGTCGCACACTTAGACAGATTTGACGGTTGCAGAGGCTATGCGCCAGAAGCATAAATTGGTCTTAAGGCGGTAAAAACAACCTGAAGTGTTTTTGGAAACGATGCTTGAAGCTTAGCTAACCTATTTTAGGCTGTTTAGTCAATTCTATGCAGAACATATCAAGTTCCGTAAGGTTGGATGAAATTAGTGGCGACGATTAAACCATTTGTGAAGAAGGTAACAATACTGTAGTTTGTTCAAATATGTCCTCTCTGTGGGATGAACCTAAAACTTACAAAAGGGAAAATCTGTGGGAACTCCTGATCAGATGCACGGACATATTCAACCAACTGTTTTAAGGTGGAGGAGCAGCAGCTCTACTCATACTTTCCAACATGATTCCAACCTCATTACCATGATAAAGAGTTAGAATGCGGACAGACCGATATTGGGCCAACTTTAAAATTAACTATTCCGGGGAATCCATAGGTTTGACATTAACAGAGAAATTAACAATATAAAAAAAAAACATCTCAGCATTCATGTGAACTGAAAAATAAAGAGTTCACAAAATGATTATTAATCACAATTTTAGAAACTAAACAAAAATAAAAGAATTCATAGTGAAAAAAAGATGGAGAACATTCAGCAGGAAGCACGGTGCGGTTAGTAGAGCATTTGTGTTGTAACCCCAACACCCATCTGGATTTTAGTGAGATCCGTTAAAGTTTTAGTACTTTACTACTTTAATGACCAGCAGACACAATTGCATGGTTTCCTGTGATAGTGAAGGGATTAATTCCTCTGTGAGTGAAGGGTGGAAAGGAGACCAAAATGCTTTCAATTTAAGCCAAAGCTGAGAGACTCTTGTACAAACACAGCTGAGCAATGTTACATAGCGAATAAGACACTGTAAAAAGTGTAAAATAAGCAAGTAAAATAATAATGCACTTATTTCCATATCCCAAAAAAAAGGGAGCATGTGTAACTGGCAGGAGCTGGTGGTTTGCATCATGCACAGAAAAAGATGTTTACCTTCTGATTCATCTGTAGGATTAACACATGAAAGAGAAGAGAGAGACATAAGGCTTTACATGAAGGATTCGCTATCAATACATGGAAGAAGGGATGCAGCCTGAATGTGGTCCAACTGAACACATAAAAAACATAAAACTGGATCCAAGTCCAATTTAGCTGCCACACTCTTAGGATTAGCAACATATTCTGACTAGATTAGCCGTTTTTTCCTGCTCCAGTCTGCTAACAGATAAAACCAGAACTACCTTGTTCCTCCTCCTCATCGTTGCTGATTATGTTGTAGAGTGTGTCTAAAGCGTAGCCCAGGATTTCTGAGTCAGATCTGTTGAATTAAGAGAGAAAAAAAGAGTAAACATTTATTAAAGTTTCATTTTTGAAATGTAACAAAAAAAGATTGTGTATATATATATATATATATATATATATATATATATATATATATATATATATATATATATATACACACACACACACACACAAACTCCAGTACCAAGCTTTTTGTAGGTCTAGATTTAAATAACAGACATCAGGCTTCCTTTAAAACATTTAGGGGAGGTCTATGGGCTGTACAAAATATCTCTATTACATTTTATCACAAATCACTTCCAAATAATGAAATTTCACCTCCTCAGTTACACCTATTTTGAGCTCCTTTCAGGTTCCAAAATGGCTGTAACTGGCCACAACCCATAAACTCAACTCATATAGATGTAAAAATTGTTTCCAAATGGGGATGTAAACAAATAATCGATTTATGATTTATTAGTTTATTAGATTCAAATTAGTTTTATCTGATGAATTATTGACATTCACTTAATATGAATTTCTATTAGCGTTGTAGCGTTAACGTCTTCCACTAAAGGACGCTGCTGCTCAGGCTCAAATGGAGCTTCAAGGATTACATGTGGAGCAAAAACATGAATCAGTCCAGAGTCCAGTCTAGATTATTTATACTGTTTAATGACAACAAGGATGGAGAATAACATTTTTGGTTCCTTTTGTAAATATAAACATTAAATACACCTAAATAGAGCCCATTTAATCGTGCTGCGTGGTAGGGCGGCATCCACTTCTCAGCTAAGCTCGAAATGTGAAGATTATAGGGAAACTTGGAGGGCATTATGCAAAACATTTGTACCATGATAGAAAAAGACATGGTGGCAATGAGGGTAGTAGACAGAGAAAGCTTTAGTATGTTAAAGCACTTCATGGAGTCAATTTTTTGTTCTTAATTGAGCAACTAGAGCCACAAGTTAAAAATCACTGCTAGCAACACAAAGTCTCTCCCAGCAATGAATGCTGGATCATACTAAAAAGAAAAAAAAAAGAGCTACATTACAGTTGGCCTCCACTTTACTGAAACAAAGGGGCAAATAGTCTGACAGTATCTCAGAGTGACAATATGTAAATGAGCTGAGACTATAAAATTGTAAAAATATGAGCATATTGTTAAAAAGCATTTATAGACAGATCCTCAAGGTAAAACCTTGGTTTTTTTGGAAAATTCCTAGTAAATTGATGATATCAATCAGCTTCAGCTATTAATCAGTAAGTTGCCTCCCTACAGCAAATAAATGCACAACGAACCAAAATTAAATAGAGGAGCTAAAAACTGAAATTTTTGCATAACAAACAAGGATGCAGCAAGTTTTTTTCTTAATGGTCCCATTTTTACAGGCCTTAGAGAGTCCCAGATTTTTCAACCTAAATAATTTTCAATAAAATTTCATATACAACTAACATGCAGAACCTTATGACAACAAGTATAATGGACTGTTAATGAAAGCAAATCTGTTGGGTTATCATCCATCTCTGGGACATTGATTCCCTGAGCTATATTGGCAAAAAAGGCAAACAAAAAAATAACATACAGAGAAAGGTGTTTAATGTGCAGCAGATTTTGGTCGCTTTAGTAAAAATATTCATATTCTCTCTTTTATTTTTACTTTTTCAATATGTGAAGATATCACTTATCAACTATAGAGAAAAAAAGACTTAAAGTTCCAACCGAGTGGATTGAGAAGGGCATTATTGAGTTGAACCTTTTAAAACTAAATAAAAACACATGAGATGAAGACCATGCCAACGGTGACATGGCAAAAAAGATAGCAGCACAGATCACAGGTTATGGAAATTAATCTGATCCTAACAGTTACTATTCTGAGGCCTGTTTCACAAAACGAGTTTACTGAAAACTACGTTATCAAACCAGAAATGAAAGAAACTGAGTTTTCTGTTTCACAAAGAGAGTTTACTCAACCTCTATTTCTGTTACCATAGTAACTTTCTCCCCAGAGCTAACCTGGCCAGAACAGGTTTTTCTCAATAAACTTGTGTGCTCTGTTTCTGCACTCCTCAAAGCCAATCTGGTTGTTTTATTTCCTGATTCAGTCAGAGGAGTTTGGTGCAAACACTGAAAAGAAAATCTTTCATGAGGTCTATTAGAGCAATTAGGCATGTGCTTTTGACGAGGCACCAATTAAAGAATGAGCTTAATTAATTTCCAGAGAATTAAATACCTATAGGGAGAGGGCTCTCAGACTGCATACCTTTCATATCCAGAAACTTCTCTTTATGAGCTCTAAAGTTTCACATCACATACATCCACCAGCGTATCAATTATCACGTTTGCAGCATTACACAGGCTTCTTTGACAGATATTTAACAGAACTTGATATCAGTGACAGAAAATTGATGTTTGTGAAACGAGCATTATAGAAAACAACTGCACAGACAAAGAGCCACTTAGTATTTACTGTGTAATGTAAGACAGAAATAAAATGAGGAATGCCATGTTATTTTACCTAAATAGATACTTTGATCCACTACCATTCAACTAATAAACTAGTTTTCCCTGGTATGTTAATGTGGCCAAAACAGGCTATGGAAAACCATTCTGAAATGCATTTGTTTGACTGAACAGTCATTTCTGAAATACATTTTTCCTTTGTCAAAATAGACATTTCAAACTAAATAAAATTTATTATATCTAAATTATTATATCTACATTCAGGGTGTCTAAAAATTAATTTCAGATCATATTCTTACTGTTGCTTTTCATAATTGGTATTACTTTGACTATGAAGAAATGTATTTCAGATATAAATACATATTCAGTAAAGCTGATCAATGTCAAAACGGCCACTTAAAATGTGTAGACAATTTTAAGGTATATAAAGCTTAATTCTAAAGGCTGATTTATGCTCAGAAAACAGGTTGTCTGAGTGTGTGTCAGTGAACGGAGAGACATCCCTGCTCCCTCCGCAGACACTCTGCTGCACCTCTCCATAATTGTAGGTGACCGCAGACAGACAGCCTCTGATAGCTCAAATTCTCATCTGCTTTACACTATGCGTATTTCCTGTTTGGTACCTTACCGGCTTATTTGTATGACCGCAATTGTGGAAAACAACTCGTAAAGATGGACCAGCTAGAAGAGCGAAGTGCGTGAGAACGCTGGGACCCTTTTCCCACCTGGATCCCAGCTCTTTTTGGCCCTCATGTCCCGCCATTGCCGCACAAACTTGCCCCCACTTCCTCATCGCCTCGGCCGTATCTAGACCCACAGCTAGTTCCTGATTGTCCCTCTTGGTTTGTGTCGTGGAATAACATAGTGCAGATAATGCTTCAATATTGGGCATAAATCGAAAATATCTGCAACAAGCTCACTGCGACACACTGCTGGGGGAGGATAACCAGGCCAGTACAATTTTGTTTTTTGACATTATGAAATATTAATTTCTGATCGCAAAACTGTATTTTAGGTAATCGTTTATTACAGTTTCAACTAGGATTGTAATTTTGACAGGACGAATCATGTTTTAGTGATCTACAAATGGAACGACAGAGAGGAGAGTGCTTTTAATAAATGTCCAAATGACCTGCTTTAACAGACTACATATAAACATGCATTAACTTGAGCAGCAATCTTCTTCATCATCTTCCTCTTCTTTGCAGCTTTAGCTCTGCTGCT